AATGCATGCTCAAATCCAAATTTAAATAAAGCAATAAAAGACTCAAAATAAGGGAAACGAATAAAAGCGAAATTTTATGCATAGATCATTTTGCATGAGAGCGAATAAATAAGACAGACTCACATAACGACAAAATAATGAGAAATTAGATACATATTAATAATAACAAACGAAGCATAAACACCTTGCAACCCATGTTATAGAGCTAGGACCTAATGCATTTCACCCATCAAACCCCAACTGTCTGACGAATAAATCCCAATAATTTTACTAAAACCCTAGACTGACTTGTTTTGAAAAACCCCACTTAAACGAGCGACCAAGATTTTTCCCTTGAACCGCAAGAACAGATCCCAATTTTCCCGGAACAAATCCAATTGCAAAGAACATATGCAATGAAAAGGATTCAGAGGGCTCTTAGGTTTTTCCATTTGGCTTGTCCTACGGTCAAGGTCGGCTCTGATACCAACTTGTCACGCCCAGAAATTCTCAAACTAGAATTTCTAAGCTGAATGTGCATTAAATCCCTGTCCAGGACCAGCCAGGGTACACAAACGACAATTGTTGACATACAGATCCACGTCTTACAAAAATAGAAAAGATCTCAAATGCAGCGGAAAAGAATAAAAGCGAGCTAAACCGGGAAGCTTGACTTCAGCAGCGGGCGACTCCACTCCACAGGCAATCCTTGACGGCAGCGACGAAACCAACTTTGACAAAACAGCTCCAACTAGGAAGATCTTCAGCTCTGGTGTGGGGGAAAAAGAGAGCAAGACTGAGTACTACCCACTGTACTCAGCAAGTCATACCGGAAGAGGAGGTATGATGCAGGATATAACCAAAGGAGGCTAGAGGTTCTTTTGCATAAAGCTAGCATTTAAAAGCAGTAGTTGAAAGCAGTAAAACAGCTGTAGTAATTAATCAATATTAACCAATCACTGTCCAACGCTACACCACGTTGCAACAGGCCCAACCAACCACCTGAACTACACCAGTTCATTAAGCTAAACTAGGGGTGAGACTAATCACGGTGAATCTGGTTGATCGCCCATAACCGCGGGCACGGCTATTCGAATAGTTTTACTCTGGCCAGAGGTGTACAACTGTACCCACAAGACACGATTCCACACATGTCGCCATGCCCCGAAGTATCACCATGATACTGCAAAGGGGGAAATCGTGACAAGACCCTCCACATAACCCTCCCCTAACCATCCACACCACGCTAAGGTTTCACCCCCACCCCTCAAAAGGCAGTGGGCGGTCCCCTCTTGCGCCGCGGTGAATCCGGCAGCTGGACAACCGGACACCCCGGCCGACCCAACTCCATCACGCCCACCCTCGCCACCGGTGCCTAGGAAAGGGTCGAGCTATACTTCAGATCAAGCAGTTACCCACTCCCGCTTGTGGTAAGCACGGTAAGTCTCCCAGGGTTTCCCGTGAACCGGTCCTTAATTGCCATGGGTGCGACCAGCAAAACCATGCACCCACAGCCCACCATTCAATGTATTTTAATTAACTAACACCATTGCGGTGGCACCAATCTAAAGCTATGCCAATAGACAAAGTCTATGTAATAAGGTGATCCCCATTTGTGTGCTAGTTGAACTAAGCATGGCTAAGCATTTCCTAAACCAACATCTAGTCATTTTGATACCCAAGTTATCAACGGCATATGGTAAACAATATGTGGCTGAGGAATAGGACCCATCCCACATTACATTGTAAAAGAATGCAACATTTAATAGAAATGCGGGATACTTGTAAATTGGGTACAATATGATCAAACGTATTGCATGACTTGCCTTGCTCTCGAACTGATGAGACCTCAGCAACGTCTTCGAGAAACCGCGGATCGACGAAACGGCCGAAACCTACGCGACAAACAAAGCACACAAGCAAAACATGCTATAAGACTACAGAAACAGGAAACAAAACCATTTTTAATGGATTCTTTGCATTTTTCTTGATTTACTGAGACTTGAATGGACTTAAACGGAGCTCGGATGAATTACTTATGAATTTTAGAAGATAAACTGTGTTTTTACTAATAAAGAAAAGTCCTTAATTAATTATTGCGCAATATTGCCCCAGGGCTGACGTCAGCGAGGGGAGGGGGCGACGCTGACATGCGGGCCCCACTGGTCAGCGGCACTAAGAGAGGGAAAGGGGGCGGCTGGCAAGCGGGCCCCACTGGCAGCGGCACAAGGGGAAAGGAGAGGGAGGCGCCGGCATGTGGGCCCCACGGGCAGTGGCTCAAGGGGGAGGGAGTGGGCGGCGTCATGCTCGGCACGGCTCAAGCCGGCCGGCCATGGCGAGGCGACGACGGCGCACGACCGCCGGCGGTGACCGGCGGCGCGGGGAGACGGCGGCGGCCGGCGCGAAGGCGGCGGCGGCAGCCGAAGACGACGGCGCACGCGCGGAGGGCGGCGGCGCTCACGGGGGAGAGGAAAGGAAGGAGGAAAGGGGATTCCTCACCGAGGCGATGGCGGCGACCGGCGTGGGGAGAGACGAGCGGCGATGACCGGCGACGCGGAGGCACGGACGGGCGGCGGCGACACCCTAGGGGAAGATGGAGAGGCGTTAGGAGAGGAGACGACGACCACGGCGGCTTGAATTGCCGGCCGGAGATGGAGGGGAGGGAAAACTCACCGGCTCGCGAGGGGAGAGGTGCTCCGGTGGGATTCCGGCGACGCGAGGCGGCGGCCGGGAAAGCTCTTGCAGCGGCGAAGCTAACGGCGGCGGCGGTTTGGCGCGGCGGCGACTCTAGCGGCGGCGGCTCGCGGCCGAAGGCGGCGGCAAGCGGCGGAGCTCGGGTGCGACGGCGCGAGGGCGGTAGACGGCACGGGAGAGCGCGGCGAGTGCGAAAAATGAGAGAGGAAGACGCGGGGAGCGATTTATAGGCGGAGGGGGAGGCGGACGTGGCCGGGAACCCACCCTATTGCGCCGGCGACGTGGGAAGGTGGGGGAGAGAGAGAGGGGTGGGATTCAAATTCGAATCCCGCCCATTTGCGAGGCGCGCGAGGGCGGGAGACGCGGGGGAGAGGCGGCGACGTGGGGGGGGACGCGGGAGCGGCGCGGCGTGGGCGCGGGAAGAGCGGAGGAGGCGGCGACGTGGCGGATTCGGCGGCGGTTGCCGTCGGAGGCGGGTGGCTGGAGGAAGGGGACGACCTGACAGGTGGGCCCCACCTGTCAGCGTCCCGGAGAGAGGAGGAAGGAGAACGGGCCGGCCCACAAGGGGAGGCCGAGCGCGGGCGACGGGTGGAGTGGACTGGGCCGACGGCCCAATAGAGAAAAAGGAAGGAAAAGAAAAGGAAAAAGAAGAAAGGATTTTTCCTGGGATTAAAAATTGCACTTTGGTGATTTTTAATTGGTTAAAATTATTTCCAAGGCTCTGAAAATTCCACTAAAAATCCTGTTAATATATTGTGACATGTAGAATCCAAGAAAAATTCCACATGCCGATTCCGATTATTATTTGCATTTATTAATTAGGGAATTAGCTCTAGGTTAATTAAGATAATTTCTTCGGACGATTTATTTAGCCAAATTTTTAAAGCAAGCAAAAAGGGGGAAAACTTCAGGGCGTGACAGGCGTGGAGAAGAGAGGCGGTGGAGGGAGCCACCGCTGCAGGTTCCGCCCGCGGTGGCCGCCACCGCCGACGGATTCACCCGCGGACGAAGCCGACGCTGTCGTCGCTATCGACGCCGCCGTTGAGAGGGTGTCGTCGCCGTCGAGGCCGACGGGGAGAGGGAGAGGGGGAGGGACAACCGTCGCCGCTGTCTCTGCCGCACCCCGCCGTCGCTACGCCGTGCCGGCGAGACGGTAAGGAGAGCGGGAGAGGGAGCGCGGACGCCGTTGACGCCGCCGTTGGGAGGGCGCCGTCTCTGCCGCACCCTGTCGTCGTCACGCCATGCCGGCGAGAAGGGAGGGAGAAGGAAAGGGAAGCGGCGCCGGTGGTGAGAGAGATGGTGCCGGTGGCGGGGGAGGCGGTCGGCATGGGGGAGGGGAAGAGGCGGGAGATGGGGAAAGGGAGCGGTGCCGCCGGAGGGGAGGGGAGGAGAAGCGGCGCCGGTGGGGAGAGGGGGAGGGGGAGAGGCGGCGTCGTGGGCGGGAGAGGCGGCCGGCTGGGGGAGGGGGAGAGGCGGGAGATGGGGAGAGGGAACGGCGCCGCTGGAGGGAAGGGGAGGGGAAGCGGCGCCGGTGGGGAGAGAGGGAGGGGGAGAGGCGGCGTCGGGTGCGGGGTTGGCGGCCGGCTCGGCTAGGGGGGAGGGAGAGGGTTAGGGTTTTCATCAATTTAGAACTGATCTGAGCCGTCCATCAAAACAAACGGCTCAAATCGATCGAGGGTTTGGCCGCACCACTTGGGCCGCACGCGGGCCGGTGGTCCAACAAGTGAGAGGAGGAGTATGGGGTATTAAGTAAACTTTTACGCTTGCGGGCTAAAGAAGAAAATGGGTTGAAAAAGGCCCATAGAGAAAAATGATTTTTATTTAAATAAATGCTGAAATGATATTTGTATTATCAAAATTACCAATTAAGCTATGTAAATTTCAAAGAGTGTAATTAATATAGAAAATTTAACAAAAATTAAATCCAACCATAATATTTTATTTCTCAGACTTACTTTACTTGAAAATTAATTTAATTATATACCGACCAACATAAAAAATACCCTAATATTCTAGAAAATGTGTATTTCATTTAATTAGAATTTAATATATTTTAATTTAACTGTTGCTTTTTTTTTTCTTTCCGTTGCAACACACATGCACTTTTGCTAAAATTTCAAAGTGTATAATTAATATTGTAGAATATTTATTTTTCATTAAATTAGAATTTAATATGTTTTAATTTAATTTTCTCGTTTTTTCTTTCGGTTGCAACGTACGGGCACTTTTGCTAAACCAAACAACATTTTTGGTCAATATACAAACTCCGTAATCACCCGGTGTAACGCACGGGTATTTTTGCTAGTGTAGGAAAAAAAAGGAAGAAGAAGAAAATGGGGAAAGGAGAAAAAGAGACATCGGGGGGTTTTCCAGCCCTAAGCGCCGCCATTCATCGCTGCTGCGTGGTCGTCGTCGTCGCCGCCGCCGTCGTCCGCCATTACAGCCGACTGATCCCTCCTGCTCGGCTCCTTCCTGGTGAGCTACTGCTGCCGGCGGATTCTTTGCTATCTTTCCCCCCATTCACAGCCTCCTCTCCCGTCTCCCCGTGCAGCCATGCTCACTCACTCACCCACTCACTCACCAGTAGGACTGAGGAGCAAGCGAATCCGGTGAGCAAGTGCGTCGAGAACCAAGAGGAGAGATGGGGGACACCGAGAGGAGCTCTATACTGGTCCACATCTTGGTCATCGCCCTCTGCCTCACCGCATTCGGCTTCGCCATCGCCGCGGAGCGCCGCCGCAGCACGGTACTCAACTATGCCTCCTCGCTTTTCTTTTTCTTTTTTTTTATTTCCCTTTCCCCTTTCATCTTCATTCCAGTAATCCTTCAAGAATCGATCGATCTTCCCGAGTAGCGGACCTCTGGATCGGAAGGATTTGAATAGAGCATTGGACTTTTGTTAAGGGGCTGGGCTGGCTACTGATGATTTTTAGTTTTGCCGACGTTTTTTTGTGACCAAGATTCTCGATATGAATTGTTTTGTCTTTGGATAAGGGAGATTTAACTTGTGTTTCAGTTGATGTACTGGATGTCTAACTTGGCTTCTTTATGGAGTGCGTAACTAGTACTCGCGAGTCCAGATTAATCCTTAGTCAACGGAATAGCAAATTAGCACTACTAATAATTGTTTAACTGATGTACGGTCACTCAATGTTCAACTACTTACTGTTGAGGTTGGATACTTAGATCCACAGTTTTTCTGAGCTAACGTGCTATAGAGTGTAATGGAAGGGGGTGGGGCGTTAGGAGTAGGGAATTGCTCTGAGACTTTTGGGATTTAGTTTGAACTAAAACTAATGGTTGTGTGTAAGGCATCCAAACATCGAATGGAAGTGTATTTCTCTTGGCAATCCCAACCAATATCTCAATAGATTGTAAGATGACTAGAAACTCGTTGTGAGTCTTAACAGCCCTATCCCAAACATGCAAGCACAACTTATGTGGACTTACTGTGTTTAGAATGATATGTGGTATTAACATGTGTTTTTTTCCTATTAAGTTGTTAAATTCCTATATGTTAGAGTTCAGTTCTTAAGCTCTTTTTAGAACAATAGGAAGGGTTTAACATCAGGGAAAAAATGTGAGAGAATTACTCAAGCAGTTTGTTATATTTGTTTTTGTCTCTCATTTAATTGGACCATGTGATTTACATAGGTCAAAAGTACATATCTAAGATACATTTTGAATTTTGTTTTTGAGTTTATGGATGGAGTATTTTTTACAATTTACATAGTTCAGGTAATTTGCAACACATTCCAACCTAGTTATGACATTGTGTGAAGTTGCATGTCTTTTTTTTTTTCTTTGGAACTCTAGTGCTAGTTGATATTATGGAAGCTTTGTCTAGGTACTTATTGACTGCTTATCTCTTGCTGATAAAAAATTAAGGGTTGGAATCAAGTTTTATCATACTGAAATAAAGTACATATTTTGTTAGCAACTTAGCATTGGTTTGTATGCTCATGTTCTTGGGTTTCTACCTTATTTCATCTAGTCGTAGGTATCTTTTTTTTCTTGAAAATGCATGAGGCTTGAGCTTCATTTCATTAAGAGAAGAAATACACAAGCGAGGCCGAAAGGGCCCTCCTCCAAAACACGTCAGACAAAGACGCACCACCAAAACCCCTACTAAGTCTTAAGGATCTTAGAGATATACATATGATGCTTTTGCAAACTTCACACAAAGCTAACTCTGAAGACCAAAACGTTGGTCAAATCTATTTTCATATGAAAGTAACTCCATAAAACTTTTACCCAATCCTATGCACGGACTCGTTTGCATGTAACCAAATTTGGATTTTTAACAGTAATTGAAACATCGCATTTTCAGAACATTTGCAAATGTATATACTGCACTAAAAAGGTAAGTTTGTTGCAATAATGAACAAGAAACAAAACAAAGCAGATTGTAAGACATGTATTCACTAATCAAATATCAAAGTGGATATGCGGTATAAAGATTATTTTAGCTCACTGCCTTAGCTATCTGGACGGTTCTTTTTTTTGCAACTTCTCTCCCTAGCGGTCCTTGGAGATTACCTACCTATAAGCATAGATGGTTCAGCCTCCACCAGATTGTGCTTTCCCCATGCATTATTTTGACACTGGCAGTGTGCCGGTGGATGATTTGAGACAGCAGTGAAAAGGACAGCTGATCAATCTAGGGTCAAAGATCTGAAACAATAATGGTCTGGACAATTCAGTCAAGTGAGGACGGTCCATTGATTATACTCTAACCTAGCTTAGAACTCTTGGGCAGGATGGTCTGCTCCTTTCGTAGGACGGTCGATTTGTTGTATCTTACCCAGTCAACATCTCTATTTGGCGGATGGTCCGCCAACCTTGCCATACTGTCTTTCCCATAGAGGTTACCTATGCATGCCCTATAATGTACGGACAGTCTGGCAACACCGGACAGCCCTGTCCATTTAACTAGGGAACCCTTTACCCTATCCAAATATTATTGAACACCTAATTAACTTGGAACTGTTTTGTATAATGCAATAGTATGAGCTACTGTTTCAAGCAAATTTTCATTTAACATTACAACAAAGATAACATAAAATTAAATAAAAAAAAAGATAACATAATCGAATGCACATTACGTCAACATATGCACAAGCATATCAGAGGATAAAACGGCTATGTCAAAACTACCAAGAATTGTGCCTACAGTAAGAAAATAATTTGCTTTAGTTGCATTGCTGGATTGTGGTATGAGCTCGGCAACTTTGGAGACAAGTCTGGAAAAGGCTAACTAGATTGTCGTAGTTGTGCGTAGGAATTAGTACGAGCCCACTAATTTGACCATTTATCTAGACATAATTGGAAGCAATAAAATTCTACAGTACACAGTTCACTAATTGACCTTCATGAGCTTATTCCTCACCATTGGGAGATGCAGTTAACAGTGCCACAGTGTTGTTGATTCATATGCCTCTGGTAAAGTGATAAACTGATAATATTCAGAAGCAAATGTGGAGTCTACTATAGCATTCATTTAGGAGTACTTCCAGGGTATGTTTTATCCTCGCAAAATTCAGGATGTAAATCCCGAAATCCCCTTTTATCTCTGAGGCACAACCAAAGTTAGGCAAGTGCTTGGAGTCCTAGTAATAAAAATGGACCTAATTTCTTCTGTGTTCTTAAGATGTCTACATTCTATCGCACCATGGCCCATAGAAGTAGTAAAAAAATGACTATCCACAATTCCTGGTGCCAATCATCCTAGTTGATCCTTAGATTGTTTGCAGCTTGCTCTAGGTGGCTGAGTGTGGTGGTCAACCTAGGGTACATTCTGTTGTTGACATGAAATATGCAAAATATTTTTAATACCAAACGATTGTACTGGGTAACTGTACCTTTTCCTCCAGAGTATTGTATAGCTATCTTAAGTCTTAACCATAAGTAATCAACTACTGAACAATTCAGGTTTCCTAACCAATATATAGACTAACCTCAAATCAAAACTAAGGTATTGCATGGCCCAGAGTTGTTTTAGTGCATATTTGTATTTCAGCAAGAAAGATTATAATTGCATTAATAATGGAAGGACGAGAAACAGCCATCTTGCTGTATTTTGAAGGTCAAATAGGAAATGTGTTCTTTAACCACCAAAGTAGCTTCACCAATCAATTCACCGCCTTATAATGTTGTCTAAATCTTCAACATTAACACAGTTACACCCTTGCCCAAAGGTCCATTTGCCTCTGTTGCTATATATTGAGACTGTCGTCCTTATGAAGAATTCGGACTGAAATTTTCACAGAAAATATCAATCATCTTGTATAGTAAAATATTGTTAACTGGAATTTTGTAGTCAAATTTTATTGGGGATGTACACCTGAACCTTTTAGTTTCAACATGCTTTTACTCGTTTGTCACCAACTTCTGGTTCGCAATCTTGTTCTAATTGCAGTATTGCTACACTAAAGTTAGTTATGTTTTTTTTTAACAAATTTAGCTTCTATGTTCTATCAGAAGAGGAATATCTTTCTACTGCAAGCACTTATCCAAAGGGCTAGCATGTAATAATCTCTAATATGCTAAACATTGATTTTTTTTTCTAGTTTATACTAGTCGTATGTTCTCTTGAGTTGATTCTGTTTATCTTACATTTCTGCTGACCATAATATCTTGTCAATTACTTTGTACATAACAGGGCTCAATTGTTACAGACAGCTTCAATTCCACATTTTGTGTTTATGACTCTGATATTGCTACTGGCTATGGTGTTGGTGCATTCCTGTTTCTCCTCTCTGGTCAGTCACTTCTTATGGTAGTTACCAAATGCATGTGTTTTGGCAAGCCACTTGCACCTGGAGGAAGTAGAGCTTGGTCAATCATATACTTTGCATCTTCATGGTAAATTGCGAAGAGCACCAATAGAAAAATTTTCGGGTCATGCCCATTTCTTGTTTCCTTACATAATAAATTTTTCCTGCCGCATTGTCAGGGTCACATTCATGATCGCGGAGTCGTGCCTGATAGCTGGAGCAACAAAGAACGCGTACCACACCAGGTATAGGCATATGGTATACGTGGGGAGCTGGACTTGCGAGTCCCTGCGCAAAGGAGTTTTTATCGCGGGAGCGGTCTTCGTGGTGTTCACTATGATTCTGAACGTGTACTTCTACATGTACTACACGAAATCGACAAGCCAGGCTGCCAAAAAGATCAACAAGACTACCCCCAATGTCGGTATGACTGGCTACGCATGACAATTGGATTTCGGTGCATCCTGGGCAGAAGATTAGTTTTTGGATAACTTGGCTACGGTGTCATTGTACTATCAGATGCTTCCGAAGAAGCATGTGGTGCAGGGTTGTGCAGGTTTTGGCCTGTCAGAGCTAATTCTAGTCAGTTTATGGCTGGGTGCCTGGGCCAAGCCCTATATTGCTAGGATGGGAGTGATTCGTTTTTGTTTTGTGCTGGTTAGGGTTAAGCACATCATGTTCTGTTTGTAACTGGTGAAGCTGCCGCCTAGAGCAGCTTGGCAGGCTAGCAATTTGGTGTGTGTTGTAGTCTGTTGTAAGTCGATTGCCTGTATTTTATTTGTGTGCGCTAGAGAAGAGATGAATCTGCTGGTTTCAGTAATTTCCTGGCCAAGGACATCAATTTATTTGCTTTGGGGGATCTGAGCCAATCTATAAAAATCCTATATTAGTGTGACCATTAGCTCGGATCGTGTGTAGCCACATCATCAATACTAGGCTGACTGTTGGATTTCATCTAAATGGCTGAAGAGAAGTGCTTGCAGCCCGACTGTTCCATCTTCTATTAATGATGTTATTTTCTTTATCTTAGTAATGGTGTTAATTGATGCATCAGCAAATTAAACTGTCTAAGGACGTGAACAGTTCACAATTCCTTACTCCCTAAGTTAACTCCATTGCACTATATATAATTGCACCAGATGTCACTCATTCACACAGCATGCATCTACTTTTGGTCCTTCACACACTTCATCGAGAACATATTCAGCATTCATTTTTAGACGATTGGCCATGTCTCTACCCCAATCTAGCTGATGATTAATTCTTCTTTTTGCTGTGTGCTTAACCATTGTTTTTCTTTTCTCAAGTTACCACAGAACAATTGCTAGGCCGTGCGCGACTTCATGTAAATCCTGGAGTCCAACATAAGATAGGTCACTCTCATTGGTTATTTACTACGTGCTCTTCAGGTTTCATATGAGTTTTATGAGAAGAATCACTTATCTAAATTAAATTTCAGGGGAAGTTAAAAGAGGGTGCATGCTTTCTAAGTGAAACCAAATACCATCCTTGAACGATGTTGATCAAATGCCCTAAATATCATCCTTTTGGATAATCATGTTTGCTTCTAAATGTGTTTTAAAGAAACTAAAGTATCACAATGTTATAGCATACTTTTAAGCAAATCATGTGCTGCTTTATATATTCCTCTAATTTCTCATGATATATTTTGAGTTAGTCTGTCAAGCGCGTTGTAGGACAGGGTAGCTGGCCCTCGGCTACGGAGTTCGTAGCCGCGCGCCGTGGTAGGAAGTTTTGAGATTCAAATTGCTTGCCTTCCCAAATATCATTACAACAGCTAAATAGGCTCTTGGGCCTTAATTCTTGGGATAAAGTAAATCTTTGAGCTAATTATTCCTATTTCTAAGGATCTCATTGATTTTCTTTCCTTCTGAACCGTGCGCCTGGCGCGTGTGATCGCAGCTATGGAGCTGCTGGCGCGTCATTAGCGTCCCTGCTAATACGCCCTTTCCTTGTATATGTGCGGCCCCACATGACATCTCTCCCCCCCCTCGACGAGCAGCTCGTCCTCAAGCTGAAAAGTTGGATAGCGATCCATGAATGTGTCCACATCTTCCCAAGTAGCAGATGTCGCGGGCTCGCCTTTCCACTGGATGAGAGCTTGGCGAACTCCTCGAGTGAGACGCATGCGAGTGGCCCTTTCTGGTTTCGGGACTGCAGCTCCATTAATTGTGGATGGCCGGCAGTGGCGGTGGTGCGTCCGGGAGAGTGCCGACGAACTTCTTGAGTAGGCCGACGTGGAAGACATCATGAAGACGAGCGCGTGCAGGAAGTGCGAGGCGCACCGCGAGGTTGTTGATGAGCTCGATGACGTGGTATGGGCCGAAGAACCGTGGCTTGAGCTTGCCTTTCGTGATCTGTGGGAGAGAAGCTGGCGCTCGGTGGCAGAGGCGAAGCCAAACCCAGTCGCCCACCTCATAGGAGACTGCACGGTGATGCCAGTTGTAGAATGCCTTCTGGACAGCTTGCTCCAGGCGATAGCGCACATCGGCTAGGAAGTCGTCCCGTTCTTCCATGTTGCGAGCGACGGCTGCCACCCGTGTTTCGCCCGGCTCGTATGACCGAATGGTTGGTGGGTCGCGGCCGTACACCACACGAAACGGTGTATCGCGTAGCGAAGTTTGGTAGGCCGTGTTGTAGACGTACTCGGCCCATGGGAGCCATCGGAGCCATTGTCGTGGTCGGTCGCCGGTGAAACAACGCAGGTACATGATGATGACCCGGTTTGCTGCCTCCGACTCGCCGTCGGATTGTGGATGGAACGCCGTCGTCATGTGCAGCTTCGTGCCCATGAGCCGCATCAGTTCGCGCCAGAACGTAGAGGTGAACACCGGGTCACGGTCGGAGACCATGGACTGTGGCACGCCATGTAGACGTACAATATCGGTGAAGAAAGCTTGAGCCACAGATTCAGCCGTGTATGGATGTGCCAAGGGAATGAAGTGGCATTACTTGGTGAAGCGATCGACGACCGTGAGGATGACCGACTTGCCACTGACGCGTGGCAGTGCCTCAACGAAGTCGAGGGCGACATCAGCCCAAATAGCTATCGGCACAGGCAAGGGCATGAGGAGGCCGGTTGGGTGGAGATGCTCTGACTTGTACTGCTGGCAAGTCGCGCATGCCCTGACGTAGTCTTGTACCACTCGACGTATGTTGGGGATGTGGAAGTCGTGGCGGATACGGTGGATGGTGTGCTGCACCCCTTCATGGCCGTCGTCGTGGATGGCGGTCAGCGGCTCGGCTAGCATTGGTGATGACGGTGGGATGTAGATGTGTGAATCGAAAGCCACCATACCGTCGATTGGTGACCATGGTGGTAGCCTTGTGTCGGCAGTGATCTCATCTCGAATTGCGACGAGAGCGGGGTCAGTAGCTTGAGCTTGCCGAAGACGCTCGATGTAGTCGAACCGAGGCGTGGAGATGGCGAGTAGGGCGCTGTCTTCTGTGTTGCGGCGGGAAAGTGCATCGGCCACCGTGTTCATGGCGCCCGGTTTGTACTCGACGGTGAAGTCGAAGCCGAGGAGCTTGCCGACCCAATGGTGCTGTGGTATTGTCGCCAGTCACTGGTCAAGGAGGAACTTTAAACTGTAGTGGTCTGTACGTACCAAGAAACGGCGTCTCCATAGATATGGCCGCCAATGACGAATGGCGTGGACGAGGCCGATCAGTTCGCGCTCGTATGCGGTAAGCGAGCGATGACGAGGGGCGACCGGCTTGCTGAAGTATGCGACCGGATGCTTGTCTTGTATGAGCACGGCGCCAAACCCATGAGACGAGGCATCACATTCGACGACGAATGGCTTGGAGAAGTCCGGCAAGATGAGGACCGCCGCCGACGTGACCGCTGTCTTGAGCGCTTGGAATGCTGACGTTGCATCGTCACTCCACAGGAAGCCTTCTTTCTTGAGCAGCGCCGTTAATGGTGCCGCTATGGTGCCGTAGTTCGCGGACGAATTTGCGGTAGTAGCCTGCCAAGCCGAGAAGCCCCTCACGGCCAAGACCGACTGTGGTTGAGGCCAGTCACGGACAGCCTGCACCTTTGCCAGATCCATGGCGACGCCAGCCACGGTGATGACGTGACCAAGGTAGGAGATGGAGGAGACCCCGAACGCGCACTTGGAACGCTTGACGTAGAGTCGGTGCTGTTGCAGCATGTCAAGGACGGCGCGAAGATGTCAGAGATGATCCGCCCATGTGACGCTATAAACGAGTATGTCATCAAAGAAAACAAGGACGAACCGCCTGAGGAACGGTCGCAGGACGTCATTCATGAGTGCTTGGAACGTGGCCGGTGCATTGCAAAGGCCGAATGGCATCACCAGGAACTCATACAGGCCATCATGCATGCAGAACGCCGTCTTGGCGATGTCGGCCGGGTTCATCCGGACTTGGTGATATCCTGAGCGGAGGTCCAGCTTGGTGAAGAACTTGGCGCCATGAAGCTTGTCCAAAAGTTCATCTACCACCGGGATGGGAAAAGCGTCCTTGATGGTGATGGCATTCAGTGCGCGGTAGTCGACGCAGAAACGCCATGTTGCATCGGCTTTCTTGACGAGTAAAACCGGCGAGGAGAACGCTGAAGAGCTCCTGCAGATGAGGCCTTGCTCCATCATGGCCTTGCACTGCCGCTCCAGCTCGTCCTTGTGCGTGGCCGGGTATCGGTATGGCCGGACGGCCGCCGGTTGTGCCCCTGGCGTGAGGATGATGTTGTGGTCGCGACTCCGCGGCAGCGGAAGACCTTGAGGCTCGGTGAAGACATCGGCGAACACGGTGAGCAGCGCCTCGAGAAGGTTGTCGCCGGCGGATGCGGTGTGCAAAGTGGTTGCCTCCGGTCCTGCCACTCCTTGCCATCGGACTTGACGATCCCGCGGCCAAAAAGACATGGTCCTGGAGCTAAAATCCCAAAGGATAGGGCCCAGAGACGCAAGCCAATTAGTGCCAAGGACAACATCATATCCGGCCAAGGGTAGGACGAAGAGATCGGCGGTGAAGTTGTCTCCGTTGATGATGAACGATGCTTGGCGCAGGACGCCGAGGTAGGGAACCTGCTCTCCGTTGGCGACAATGACCTTCATGCTTGCGCGTTGGTGCAGTTTCATGGATGTGCATGTAGCTGCCTCCTCGGAGATGAAATTGTTGGTGGAGCCCGAGTCGAGTAATGCCAAGAGAGTGATGTCGCCGATCGTGATGCGTAGCTGCGTGGTCGCGCTAAGGCGGATGCCGGCGATGGCGTGGAGGGAGATGTGCGGCTCCGTGTCGTCGTCGCCGGCGCCCTGAGACTCATCGTCGGAATCGTTTGCCATGTCCAGCAAGAAGAGGCGCTGGCATACCTTGTTGTGTCCACGGCCGAATTTTTCGTTGCAGTTGTAGCAGAGACCGAGACGACGCCTTTCTTCCATCTCGCTCTGCAAGAGAGGCTTGATGGGATGGCCTTCGACGGAGATCATGGTCGGCGTGGCTGGAGGCGCAGGAAGAGCAAGGCGTGGCGATGGTGGTGGAAGGAGTGCCCGCTGCTGCCTTGCTGGAGGGTGATGTGGCGCGACGCACTGATCCCGCGGCTCCATCTTGCGTGCCAAGCTCATGGCGCTGGCCAACGAGGTGGGGTTGTGGACCTCGACGTCGAGGCTGAGCGGTGGTTGGAGACCGGCGGTGAAGAGCTACACCTTCTGTCCTTCCGTGAGACAGCCGGCGCGTGGAAGAAGAGCCTCGAAGCGATCTTGGTACTCCACCAATGACCCCGTACGTTTGCAGGCCGCTAATTCCCCCAGGGGGTTTGAGCGGAGCGGCGGCCCGTAGCGCAGGTGAAGAAGCTCGGAGAAGCAACGCCAAGATGGTGTTCCTTCATCTCGTTGGACTTGTATGTACCACATCTGTGCC